TTTCCCTCTCTGTTGCTTGCCGTCCAGAGTCACAGGTGTCTGGAAACGGCAGCTCTATTCTATCATCGCGTGGCCGAAGTGCTTCTCCGAGTATTCCGAGACTCATCGTCTCGTGTACTTAATTAATCACGCGGCGTCACTGATATCCAACGTTAAATTCCGTCCGCGGCTTCGCCGTGCTTTCTTTGAACGCGTCCAACGCGAAATGCAAATCTGTTCCTGACTTTGTCATTGGCATGCACTGTTGGCCGTACTTATCCAGATTCTTCCGGAAAAAAAGTGATAGCTTTTATAATTAAATTCTGTAGAGAGATAATATTTACTCATAACTTTCTGTGGGACTGAAGCACATGTACAGATTAAGATATCTTGAATAAGCAACTGATATTTAGCTAATACTGTATCGAATAATGAATATGTAATAATTTTCCAAATTTATTGATTTATTTTCTAAAATGACAGATAAAAAAAAGCCATTTCTTAAATATTTTTTGTCCTCGTGTTTTGAAATACCAATTCAAGAGATATACTAAATATTTAAATATTAAACTCTGTCATTGTATTTTTTAAATATATTTTACAATTCACAAAATAGAAACATTTTTATAATTTTTGCGTGAAATAAAAAAAAAAACAGTAAATTTTTCTTGAATTTTGTATCAAGGAAAATGTTATTTTAATAACAGCAATTTCGCGAGAAACATTGATATCGTAAAAAAATATTTTAGCATAGTGAGAATTGAATTATTACACATAATGGCATTAATTCTCCATTGGTGCATCATTTATCTACTAAATTTTAGAATAGTCAGGATTTTTCTACGTCGATAAGATTGAATAGTGGCGAATAGCCGACAAGGAAAAATCGTGACATCTCAAGGGATAGTAAGTTCCTTCCAATATTTCGAGAGATCTAAGACCAGCGGTCCCAACATCGAAAGGTTCGCGAAAAGTTCTATATCTCACCTTTAGTATTGGCAAGCGACGTTTCGCAAGTAGAGGATGACGCAGTCGGGACGCGCATTGCTCAGATTTTCTTCATTCGTATACAAAATTTCCCGAGAGATTTTTCCTTTCAGATATAAAATCCTTAAGTTTTAAATGTTAAAAATTATAGCTTTTAATACTTAATACATTTTTGTTTTTTATTTTGAGTAAAACTAAAAAGACAAAACGATGAAACCTTGTTTAATTAATTCTTAATTAATTATATTGAATTCTTGTAATGTACTAATTATTGCATCAGGTCATTATGCTTGTATATGTTGGGTTATATTATAATTGCTAAATTGAAAATAATAATATGGTTTTTAATTTAATTTCACCGTAATAAACAATTAATTTTGCAATGAAATTACTGTCAAAAAAATATTGTAGTATTTCGTATAAGAAATTTTGTTTTGTTCACATTTTCACTGCATTTAAAATGATATGGTTATTATTATAAGTGATACGGTTACTGCACGGAATTAATTAAGAATTAAATAAAAATAATGTATCTTATATTTATAAAATGTAACATAAAGTGAAAGATTGTTCTATAAAAATTACAGATTTTATACAACATATACATATATAATATAGACGAAAGAACAAAATTCGAGCGTAATAAAAGCTTTTCAGTTGGGAAAAATTTTGATTACTTTTTTTGTAATTTAATCATCCATCTATAATTGATAATCGGAGAGAAAATATATATCGTGAGCAATTTCGTTGCATCATCATTAAAATTATTTGACTGAATTCACATCGATTATTGAACTTTTATTTAATTTTGCATACTCTCTATGATATCATGACGGAAAATGGAGAATTCATTTTGGAATCTTTCCAATTTCTTCGAAAATAATTTCCAAAGTTACTATCTTGGAATGCTTGATAGATATATAGAGTGTCCCAAGTGCTATTACTATGTCCATTAGATATTAGAGATTTAATTAAATTAAAGAAAAATGACATTTCGGAATATCGGATTAATAATTTTGAAATTGTAAACGATTGAAATTTGTAAGAATTCGGCAAATATATAT